TAAATATTAGAGGGGAGTGGCGAGGGGCTGCGCAGCCACGTGGAATGTGCCCTTGGTCCCCAAACAGCTGAACCTTCCCCGTGGTTCCCTGCAGCCAGGGCTTTCCCAGGGACCGTGAGCTCCATGGGACTGGCACGCAGAACAAACGTGTGCTTCCTGGTGGGAAATGTTGAGATGTTGTGGATGCCCCATCCCTGGATGTCTTCAAGGCCAGGCTGGATGTGGCTTTGAGCAACCTGGTCTAATGGAAGGTGTCCCTGCCCATGGCAGGGGGGTTGGAACTGGATGATCTTTAAGGTCCCTTCCAACCCAAACCATTCTGTGATTCTATGATTCTATGAAATCCTGCTGGTGAGAGATTGTTGGCTGCCGTATCTATTAGGTTTTTGCTTCTATAATGGAGTGTATTGCTCCCATTTCCATTTTCCCTGGAAATCGCCGCTGTCCGGGAGCGCGGGGGCTGGCAGCTGGCCCTGAGCAAGCCCGAAGCATCTTCCCTGGATGAGCTTCTCCCTCCCCAACAGGTGGTTGCGAAGAGGGGCAAGGACTACATCCTGAAACATGTCCCGAACATGCACAAGGACCAGTTTGCCCTGACGGCCTCTGAAGCCCATCTCAAGTACATCAAGGAGGCCGTGCGGCTGGACGACGTGGCCGTGCACTACTACAGGTTGTACAAGGTGAGCCCAGGCTTGGCTTTGGGTTGAAAGCAGCAACTGCCGAGTGATTTCTAAGGTATATTTTGGGATGAACTGCATTTGGTTTGGCACTCGCTGGCTGGAGCAGAGCGGTCTCAAGGGCAGCGTTTGCTCCCTGAGGCAGGGAGGTGCAGCGTTTTCTGATCCTGACATTTTCCACAAGTTACGGAGAGGCAAGAGGTTTCCTGGGGTGCTAGGAGGCAGCCGTGAGGTTTCTGGGATCCTATTTTTCGGTATCTTCTCCCTAAGAAATATATTTTGGGTTTTTCTCCTGGGAACAAGGCACTTTCTTAGCTGGGGCTTCGCAAACCGTTTTGTAGCATCCTTAAGTTGAAGAGGAGAAGCACCGGGTGCTGCTGCCTGAGCAGGCTGGGCTCGAGCTAAAAAGCACCACAGCTCCATTTCTGAAAGTCCTTTTTTTACTGAGCTTAAACTGCTTTTTCCAGAACCTTAAGCTGGGGCGTTTGTGGGCAGCGAGGTGGATAGGTGCCTGGGGGTAAGGCTGGTGGAGGATGCTCGAGGATGCGTGGGGGGAGACGGGGCGAGTAGAGGAGAACACGTGGGCTGGGGAGGCAGATTTCTCCACTTCACGCTGCAAATTGTGTATTTAAAAGCATCGTTTTTTGAATCCCTTAGGACAAAAGGGAGTTGGAGGCTTCCCTGACGCTGGGGCTGACCATGCGCGGCATCCAGATCTTCCAGGTAGGCAGCCGAGCGAGGGCAACGGCTCTGCTCCCTCCCGCAGCCAGGCAGACGCAGGCAGCCCCCGCCAGCGTCCTTAGTCGGGCCCCTCCCTCTTTTTGCAGAATTTGGATGAAGAAAAGCAGCTTCTCTACGATTTCCCCTGGACAAACGTGGGGAAACTGGTGTTTGTGGTGAGTGCCACCATCCCTGGGCTGAGCATCCCTGCCCGTATCGCTCCTGGGCTCTGGTTTGGAGTGTTGCACAGTCCCCAAGGAGGGTGGTTGCAGTAGGTGGGCTGCAACAAGACTGGGGAAGACTTAGAGTATTTTCCTCGCTGTGGCTGATGTCCCTCCTCTCCCCTGTAGGGTAAGAAGTTTGAGATCCTGCTGGACGGGCTGCCCTCGGCCAGGAAGCTCATCTACTACACGGGCTGCCCGCTGCGCTCCCGCCACCTCCTGCAGCTGCTCAGCAGCAGCCACCGCCTCTACATGAACCTGCAGCCCGTCCTGCGCCTGGTCCGAGAGCTGGAGGAGAACGAGGGTAGGTGCTTCTACCCCCGGGGTGCGAATCCCACTGGGACCGGGCTCCCACCCGGCTTCTCTCCCTGGTCCCTGCACCAGCCCTGTGGCTGGGAGCGGTGGTTGTGCCTGTGTCCCCCTCCTTGGTCCACCCTGGCCCTGCCCGACAGGCAGACCCCGTCCTGGGTGGGCTGGGTGCCCACATACGGCCCCCCCCAGGCTGCTCAGGGATGGGCACGGGCCTTGCTGTGATCCCTGATGGTCCAGTTCTTCCCAGTGCCTCAACACAGCGCTTCCCAGTGCCCCACATCCCGTCTCCAAGCGCAGAAAGCAATAAGCAAGCATAAGATCTTCTTCCTCTTCCTCCTCATCTTCCTCTTTCCCCTCCTCTTCTTCCTTCTTGTTGTCTTCCTCCTCCTCTTCTTCCTCCTTTTCCTCCTCTTCCTTCTTCTCTTCCGCTTCTTCCTCCTCATCCTCCTCATCTTTTCCTCCTGTTCATCATCCTCATCATCATCTTCTTCCTCCTTCACTTTTTTCTCCTCCTAATCTTCTTCCTCCTCCTCTTCTTTCTTCTCTTTTTTCCTCCTCATCTTCCTCCTCTCCCTCTTTTCTTCCTACTCTTCATCTTCCTTTTCTTATTCCTCCTCCTATTTTTTCTTCTCATCCTCCTTATCTTCTTCCTTCTCCTCTTCTTCCTTTTCCTCATTTTCCTCATCTTTTCCTCCTGCTCATCCTCCTCCTCCTCCTCATCCTCCTCCTCCTCATCTTCCTCCTCTTTTTTTCCTCCTCCTAATTTTTTTCTTCCTCCTCCTCTTGTGCCCCTCATCTTCCTCTTCCTCCTCTTTTGCCCCTCATCTCCCTCTTCCTCCTCTCCTTCTTCCTCCTTTTTCCTCCTCCTCCTCCTCCTCCTTTGGAAGCACAGCACAGAGCCCAGCAGCTCTGAGGCTCCCCACCTCACCCTCCCCACATGCCACTGAGATGCCCAGTGTGCCGGTGCCTCGGGGTGCCGGGATGAGGGAGGGGGACCGTGGGCACCCCGAGGAGTTGGGGTACGATCTGCCACGTGTCCCTCACCTCGCAGAGAAGAAGCAGTACCGCGAGTCCTACATCAGTGACACC